GACTCATGACTTCCGGCTTCCTGTCCTGCCTCAATCGTGACTCGCCTCAGGCTGGGTAGAGACCGGGATCACTTCGGGCAAAATGGCGTTTTGTGCAGGAACCGAGTTTTTATCTTATGATGAATTTGAGGCCGGCCTGAAAAGTTATAACGCTTCTAATAAATGTTTATTTGTCAAGAGGTCTTCAGAAGCAATCAAAGACGGCTTGTTAGCGTGTGTCGGGGTCGGATGGGCGGCCTGCACATGCGTGGCTGTGTGTGCGTGTCGGGGAGGGGGGGGGGGCACTATCGGTCCGGGCGTTGAACGTCGTATATACGTGTCAGTCTTTTTCCCCCCGGCAACTGATCATTATTACAATAGTAAGCTAGTTTTGACGTAGATTTACGTAATGAATTGTGCGCTGGTCTAAGGAATCAAAAGTTGCCGTTTGATCGGCTCTACACAGCAACACAACTTTTTCTTGGTAAAAAAATCGAGATGACACAGGCTTGTGGCGGAAAACACAGATGAGGGCAAAATGGCACTTTCTGTATTCTGAACACTTTTTCTCAGAAATGGGATAACTGTGTGTGTGTATCTTTAGTTGATATCGTAGAGTGAAGTTTCGAGAAGCTGGGACAGCAACATTTTTGTGAGTTTTTACATTTTGTGAAAGTTGTGGTTTTGTGAAGTTCCTGGACCCATGTTTACTTGACAACAGAACACATGGAGAGAAGGGTAAGTCTAATTTATTTTTTTCATAATTTTTAATGGTAATTTTGCTAAGAATTTGTTCTAGAATGATAATAGTACGATTTGGCATTAAAAACATGAATTTAATCACGATTTTCTAAAAAATGTTTTAAAAAATCCTAATTGCCTGCATTGTCAGCATGTGTCTGTCGTTTTTTCACGTAATTCTATATTTTTAGTTTTAGCATATTTTTTGTTCTAGTTGCCATTAAACATGTTTTGACAATGTTTTAATCATAGCTGCGATAATTTGTATTTTAAAAAGTAATAAAAATAGACTTTTAAAAGATTTACAGCTATTCATTCACGATCATCCGGGTTTCCGTCGCTCGTATTCTACTGGGTGAACAAAATGGGATTTGCGATCACGACACAACAATCTCACAGTAATTGTCCAAAACGAAGTTTTTAACAGTTCTTGGCCATAGTTTCATCGTTTCTCTTCATTTTCTAACCTTTATTGTTAGATTAAGTTTGAAAAACCGAATTTTTCATGTCTGTCGGGCACCGGTCGGACTTTGCGCAGGTCGAACAAACAAGACCCGTGAACAACAAAATGAGGCTAATCTAAGTCTTAAACGCGATTTTTAACCCAAATATCACGAAATGTAAGTCATTATCCATGCTAGTTTCATTTTCAGCATAAATAAATCTTTAAATTGTTCCATGATGTGAGATAATCACCTAAATCTAATTTTTTCGTAAGCACGACACGAAATCGCCGCGAAGGCAAGAAAATGGCGGCCGCGTAATCCGAAAGGGGGAGGAAGGGGGGACGGTATTTCAAAGATCGTTGTGTCGCGATATTCAGAATAGAATAGATAGGCCTCGATCTACTTGGATTAGCTTCCAATGAATTTTAGTTAGTTTTTTTAATATTTTAAATTTAATTTAATGAACAAGAAGAGAAGACAGTCAAAATCAATCGTGGAAACATGCAATATATAGACATAGAATAGAACAAAGAGGAGGGGGGGGGGAGAGACATGTAACGAAAAAATATTAATATTATGTAGAGAAACTTCAAAATAAAGATAGCGAACAATGCATTCCAAATATTTGAGAATTAAGGGGGGGGGGGGGCACTCAAATACAGACAGGATTCATAAGACAATGATTATTTATTTGACAATGAAGAGATTACAGAAGATATGATGATTTAAAGTCAGTTTTTATAGACACGTGTGTCTCCAGACCTCTTTGATTTAACTTCAAAATCCTTTGAACTGTTTGTGGTCAAGCTTTCTGAATGGCTATGCCATGAATATAAGTTGTCAGTTACCAAAGATAGTGAACAAAGAGTAATCTAGACACAACAGAAAGATGTTTCTTTAGGAGACTGCTGTTTCATATTATGAGGAAAAGAAATCAAATAAGGTTGTGCAGAATGCGAGAAAGAAGGCCTACAAGGGACTCACTAATAAATACAATAAGAAAGAGACAAATGTAGGTGTGATACATTCAATTGACTTTTTAAAAAGGAAGTTGTTAGGCACGCGCACGCCCGCATAACACTGGATTGTTAGGGACAAGTATTTTCAAAGTCAAGGCCGTTCGGTGTTCCCAAAAGTCAAGGCGTTCGGCGGTTCGTTTCCCATTCATTTCACCAGCGTGCTTGGTCGAGCAAAGGTGGATTGGGATTGAGACTCGTAAACTTGTGACTTGATCTAGATCTATTCTAAATTTTCTAGATCTCTGTTTGTCGGGAGGGAGGGAGAGAGAGTGTATTTCTGAATGAAAAAAGACAGATACAGAGAGGAAAAGAATGTGTGTGTGTGTGTGTGTGTGTGTGTGTGTGTGTGTGTGTGTGTGTGTGTGGATAGAGAAAGAGAGAAAGTGTGTGTGACTAATGTTAGAGAGAGAAATGAAACAGAGAGAGCGAGAGAGAGATGACAGGGAGAGAACGAGAGAGAGAAAGAGAGAGAGTGTGTGGGACTTGTATGTGTGTGTGAGAGAGAGAGAGAGAGAGAGAGAGAGAGAGAGAGAGAGATTTTTTTGTTTTTGTAAAGTGTTTTACGGCGCTCGCAACTGCATAGGTCATATGAGCGCGCGGGACACACCTAATATTTTCAGCTGATAGGAAATTTTGAATTTTGCCCGGGTGGCGGCCGAAGCCTACTCTTATCGATTTTAGACCACCAAGGGATCTTTAACGTGCGCAACTTGCACACGGGCCCTCCAAGATTTTTCGCCCTTGTCCGAGAAGGCTAGGTGTAGATCTTTCCTACCAGAAGATCAGGGGTGTGGCAGAAAGACAGCAGTAAGGAGGGGCCAAGGAGTAGCAGTAGAAAGGCTGCAGAAAGAGTCAGGAGCCCAGAGGAGGGGGCAAAGGAGGTGAGGGGGTGGGGGCAGAAAGTGGAAATGGAAGCAGACAACAGAACATTGCTAGAGAGCAGGGAAGGAGGTGAAAGGAGACAATTTTAGAGAAGAAAATTTTTTGGTCGCTACCCGGATTCGAACCCGGGACCTTTGAATGAGAGGCCAACACCTTAACCTCTAGGCCACGAGAGCCCCAAGAGAGAGAGAGAAATGATACACAGAAAGAGATGACAGAGAGAGAGCGAGAGAGATGACAGGTTGAGAGAGAGAGAGAGGAGAGAGAGATGGCCTCTAGAGAGAG